AAGATTTCTCTCTAACTAATATATCTCATTTTTAATAAAAAAAAAATTTTTTAATGCTCTCTGTAATTAAACGATACCGGATCTTCCAAATAATAATAATAATTACACAAATAATGTAATTTACAACATGATAAGTTTATTATAAAATGATATTTTTGAATAAAATATATTTTATTTACAAAATTCAATACATTTACGGTTAATAATAATGATACATAGTTTTTGTTACAAAAAATGAAAGAGAATAAAGAAATATAAAATCTTTACACGTAAATTGCACAGTTTTAATGTATAATTAAATATGCAAATATGTAACACAAATGCATTTAATTATGTAAAAAGCACAGGCAACAAATATGTAGCAAACTAACTCGCGTAAAAATATGTAAAAGTAACTTCAATTTGTGTGTAAAATTTATACACTTGGATTTGCAATGTATTCGATGTAAAAGTGCCTGCCCCAAATCAAATCAAAATATACATATCGTTCTATTATAAATCTTTTCTAACTTTTCAGCGAATATATTCTCTCTTTTTGTACAAAAAACTAAGGGGAAATTGATCGATAAATTTAATTTGGATCTGAAGCCTCGCGTATTTCGAGCTCAAGTGTGTTTATCTGAAATTCTCTTTATAAAACTGTGAGCGTTTATCATGCACTGTCACATTGTTGCCCTCAAGGATCTCTGGTTGAAAGCGCAGAAAACCGCGACGCGTAAAAGGACACCGGTGCAAAGCCAACCAAAATAAACATCGATTATCGACACTTACCGTTGCTGAGCTCCTCGTAGACAGGATTATAGAGGTCCTGCGATATGTAAGGATCAGGACCGGGGCTGCTGCAGACAAATACCCCTCTACCGCCCTCCTTGACATCCAGCATCTATCGATGTAAGAAAGATGTCAGTTGAAAAGAGAAAGAACAACGCGATGCAAAGGAGAGAGAGGACAAGATACTAATGAGAGTATATTTTTATTCATTGTACTTTTAATAGAATTACCTTCAAACGGCATATTGTATTTAGATTTGCATGATTTATATTCTTTTGGAAAATATAATATAGATACGTCGAAGGAGGATATATTTACCAAGGCCGGGAATCGATGAAGCATGTTGACAGGATTTTAATTATTATGCATCCGGAATCGTTAAAGTAATGGGTAAGCCCGCTATGAGACGAATCTGAGAATCTGAGAATCTCACACTTTTATGATAAGCTAAAAGTTACGTGTTACTCTAAATTAGAGAGATCAGTCGATTTTACCGTTAATACAACCTCAATTCTAACTCGGTGCCGCACCTACAAATTGTGAGCGTTTAAAAATTAAGCCATCATCCTTGTATTTCATTCCACAGCGTTGAATGATAATTAACCGGCTTTTTATGCAGCTTCAGAGGATTAATCAAGACACCTGATAGACGGGAAACGTGTAAGCAATATACGACATAATCGCAGGTGTCAACGATTTAATCCTCCCGACCTCGAGTTAGTTCGTCCGAGTGGTTGCGCGTACTCTTGCGCAACGGCTTACGTGTCGCCGTCGTCGCCGTCGCCGCCGCCTCCCGCAAGCGGTTTCCGGTCTCGACGGTATCCGTGTCCGTGTGGTGGTTTGCGAGACGAATTTGCCACCGGTTCTCCGGTTCAGCCGTATCGCGTTAACTGGCGCAAATGGCGCGCTGCTATCCGCAATCTATCTCGCTATCACTCCTACTCGCCCGCGTCCATAACGTCCTGTGATTCCGCCGGATACCACACATACGGCGATTGAAACTGGCGTAATCGCGGGGAATTCGATTTTCTGGCCCGTGGAGACGGAGGAAAGTGAAAATCTTACGAAACGTTGAAAAGAAAGTTAAATTTTTCCTCAGCAAGCGAAGAGTTTCTCGAGCAAGTATTGAATCTAATGATTAGACAATCACTAGATCTAGTCATGACATAGAAAAGTTGTGTTTTACGTCGCTACTGCTTGGTAATACTGGTTCCTAGCTGCTAACTAGAAATAAAACGCTCACTTCTCCTAGTGGTTCTATATTAGAAAAGTCAACTAGCTAGATAAGAAGTACACCATAGTTTCTAATAAGAAAATTTCTTACAGTAGAGAATTAATCGAAATGAATTTTAAGGGTTTCCATAGACCCAAAATTTTTGTCCCGAAGAAAATTTTTTAAAGAGAGAAATAAGTAGTATTCAGATGGAGCGAAGTCAGGAGAATACGAAAGGTGAGGAAGAACGTTCCAATCGAAAGTCAACAGCTTCCTACGGATGGATATCGAGAGCCTGAAGAAGTTAGCCCTCCCTCCCCCCCCCCATTTCGAACTTATTTATTTTGACAGTTGCGTTGATTTGTACTAGATTTGTGTTATATTATTCACGAATGATAAACTTGTAACACGAAAAATGCGCGAGAAAAATGAAAAAACGGTTTATTTGTCAGCTTCCACTTTTTGTTTTTCACAATTTTTTTTAATCTTTAATTTTTTAACACGTTTTAATTAAAGAAAACGGAATGTTCTGAATAAAAAAATAAAATTTGATTCATGAGAACTAGAAATTTTGTTACCTTCAATTAAAACACGTTGTCCATTTATTAGACAGATCTAACTAAACTCATTTTTCAATGTAATCCGCATAAAAATTTTCCCAGATCTTTGTATTAACGGAACCTATTTAACATATTAATGCCTATTAATATATTGCAATTATATTTTTGCCGATATCTTTATCTAACGGAGCCATCAACGTCACGTGAGACGTCAACATAGATATTAATGAATTAAATTTACTCTCTACGAAGCTATTTTTCATCTCTGAACAGTCGCCGTTCACGTAGCAAATTGCGATCGCGGGATATGATGTAAATTCGACCTGTTCGCCTTTCTTTCTCTCTTAATGCGCAAAGGTTGAAATATCGCTGATAACGTGTGGAAGTGTCGCGTGCAAAGATATATACAACTCTATCTAAAATTATATCTTCCGAATTGAGTCGCTTTCTATCGCTTGCTCCTCGACGATCGAGTAAATGGATTCGATCGGATGCGAATGTAAATCGCTTATATAATATACCGTGTCTATTTTCCACATTTCGTGAGATTTGTCGTGCAATCACATACACCACCGCAAGGACAAGATGAATACGAGAAGCGCGTTAAAAACGCGTTGGTAGCGTGGGCCGAAAGGTTGAAGGTTGAACGTTTCTGTGAACTTCATAAAATATTGAAAGAAGGTAAAATGGATAAAAGTGACGAATGTATCCTGTCAACTGGTGTATGTGCAATTCATGAGGTCGGTCGGTCGCATATCACGAAAATAATCTAGCATCACGGACCAGCTTTATATGGATATCGCCTTACACTTTGGCAAAATGTAAAACTAAGTCATTTTATTTTCAAACACCCAATACGACGTAGCGTCAAATGATTAATCATTTAAGTGCACGGTTTGTTAGCATTATTACATCACAGTAGCCGTAGGACGACAAATTTGGAAGCCTCTGGAATATTTTTCGACATCTTCTATTTCTAAATAAAGAAAAATACTGAAAAATTTAAAGGTGAATAACTGATAAGAAAGACAGGCCATAAAAGTCGTCGCCAAATGGAGGGATAATCATTTAAATTTTAGTAGAAGAATAAAATTGTTCGATAGCGTAACGTACCGGACTTATTTTCCAGAATTTTAACGGGTACTATAACCGCTCTTAACTCAAGCCAATTAATATTAATTATTCAATATTAATTATTCCCCTCAAAATCTTCTTACTAAAACTTTTTTTTAGTGTTACGAAATGTTGCGAAAAACACAAAAAACATCTTTTATTTCTGATGTACTAATGCCTGTTGAAAAAACAGGTATATTAAAATGAATCCTTATATGTATATACAAGACATAAAAATTAAATTAAAAAATTAAAATTAGTTAAAAAGAAATCTAAATAAATAAATAAAATTAATTCAATTAAATTTTCTATTAAAATTAAATCTGACAGTTCTCGAATATCTCATTCTTTAGGAGCGGAAAGTTTCATCTTTTTATGCCATTTTTACACTTTCGAAGTTTGAATCTAATATCGCGATTTACGATTTAATATTTAGAAACCTAATTTCTAAAATGTTATCTGTCTCTCGATTTTTTATCCACCTACAACTTCTGAGCGCGGAGTGCCTATCTGCGGTCTATTATCTACAGATGCGATCAAGTGCTTGTAAGAGTTAAATGCTCTCTCGCGAGTCCACAAATTGCCGAAATTGAGTTAGCTGTTTGGTGGTTCGCGCGGGGAAGAAACCTGGGCAGAGGAGCCAACGGTTCTCGCACTCCCTCTATTGAACTCCCCGAGGCGGTGTTATCGTCCGTAGAAAAAAGAAACATTCTTCGAGTCCCTTACCAGCAAATACTCGTAGCCTTAGAAACGCACACAAGGTTCATTATTATGTTTACATTGCAAAAGCTATTGTTAAAGTGTTTGCGATTTTTTAAATGTTTAAACCACCTTTCGCCCTTTATTCTCTAAATCTACAAATTTAACGTTAAACGCGCTTGTTTGATTCAACAGATGCGTCTTTTTTTACAGTAACTATGAACTCTCGAGTGTCTACTTGTCAAAATTAAAATAAATTAAATGTTAATATAGTGTACTTTAACATTAAATCTATATAGGACGTTTCAGACTTAATCGTGCAAAGAGCTATCGGCTTACAAATAAAAAAAACTAATCGAAAAGTTAAGTGCTGACTTGAATAGCAAGTAAAGTAGAATCATTGCTAACTTATGCAATTCAGATTAATTTTTCTGTTCCTAAAACTTTAATATATTACTTCTTCTATTAAATCTCTTTTGTTTAACATCGTATGTTGGAAGTTTATTTTCTATTTGTCCTAAAAAATAGAAATCTGATCCTCTAAACGATAGATGTGAATTTAGAAAATGATATTGTCGTTCCTTTAATTACTTTTAAGATGTTTCAAATTTATCATGTGTACAGCTTGTTTCACTTGAAGAACTTCTATCGCCATCTGTATTTAAATTTTCATTATAATTTAAAGTCCATAAGAGGTTTCCATACATGTTTCTTATCCATACATGTTTTATTTGATTTTTTCGGCTTTTTCAGTTTGTGTTCCTTCCAATAACATTTTATATCTGGAATTCATGAAAACAGCAAATAATAATATGTAATTATCTAATTTTGCGTCAGAGCTAGAAGTTTATTACGAAATAAAAGAAAAAGACTATAAATCATAGAATAAGAATCATAATAAGGAACCGAAAAAAAATGTAGACCGAAAATAATTTAACGGTTCCGGTCCAATCCGAATCCCAGATCCAAATATATCTCATAATAAAAACGTATACTTTGACGTTTTAACCGAAATTACCCAAGTACATTTTATGTAGAGTAGAGATATATTTCTCACGGTTCATTTTGTTTCGATGATAAGGTAATTTTTACTTAAATATTCGCGATATATACCTCAATCTCATATACGATAAATAGAATTGGATTTCTCGAAAGTCGAGTTACGAGTTCACCAAGTTGCGTGTCCAACTTTCGACCTCACGGAATCGAGTTAGGCACCATTAGTGCGAGTTCGAGATAGAACGAAGGCAGAACCGAACTTCCTGAATTGAACTTCCGCTCATAGTTCATTTATACGATGCAAAATAGTAAGAAGGCTTCTCTTTCTCTAATCTCCAGATGAATAATCAAGTTCGTTTCACATTAATTGACAATCTAAATAAGCGAAATTGTCATGAAACGTACGTTACGCTCAATCGTACAAACTGACCCGTGATTTTGCATTTTTCACCGTTTCTCTGTCCCTCTGAGTCTCTTCTAATTTTAAATTATTATAAAATTCTATTATTTCTTAATTCCATTCTAGAATA